CATAAAAGTTTGTCACTCCCTGACTATTATATTGGCCACATGATTCAAGGTTTATCTAGAAACAAACTGTTTAAGTACTTCGAAGGCCATATTTTCCAGGGTTGACTTGATATTCACAGAGCAGCTACTTGGTTTTAAATTCATATCATAATTATTTTTGGGAGGAGCAAAGAAGAGAAATCCCCCGTAGCTCTTAGAAATAGGAAGGAATTGAGAACTATTTTGGAAAGGAACTGAACATCTTAAGAATTATCCTTAGACCTATTCCAACCCCATGATAGTTTTCCCTTTCGTGACATGCAAATAGGGTGGCTGCTCTTGGATTTCACAGGGAAGTATGGCTTCCCCGTTTTCTGGAAGAATGCTCTTTTGGCTAGCTAGCATTGAGGTGTTCTCTCTCCCCACTAAGTGCTATTGCTGCCCTAAAAAGAGCTGCTCAATGTAAGCCAAGTGAGACGTCAGACCAGCCATGGAGGAGAGGGAGGGCACTTCAGGTCCACAAAGTCCAAACAGCCTCTACCTCATTCCTTACAGGGCAAAGTTGATACTAGTCAGCCTTATTTCAAGACAACTAAGCAGGAGTCTTCAAGCCCTGCACCCACTCCTCCCCCTTTAGGAGGTGGGGGAGATGAGGGGTCAAGTCTGTTACAGCTCCATGTGGCCCAAATGGTTCATGAGCTGAAGGAGGAAGGAGCTTGGAAAGGAAAGTGGGAAACTCACTTGTGGCAGAGAATAGAAGACAGGCCATGAAAATGCACAATTCATGTAACTACATTTACTTTAAAAACTATTCCCAATGAGAGCAGGGCTATACTATCAAGCAGTAGTGGTAATCTTGATCAGCAAGCGGCTTTCATGTTCCCATTCTTCCCTCTCTGCATATAAAAAAGTTATTAAATATTCTACCATATGAAGGAAACAGTAAAAAATTCCACAGAATATTCCACCATATGAAGGAAACAGTAAAAAATTCCACAGACGACTGCACTCCAAATACAGATTTAAAGTAACCCTAAATAAAAATCAGTTTTCACATATGAGAAAGCAGTTTGTCATAAACTGCAAGAAATGGTGCAAGTTAAATATAAAACTTATATACAAAAAAAAAAAAGACTACTTTTTTTTTAAAAAAAGATTGGACAGTTCCTTAAAAATTACCTACTTCATAGGATTAAATCTACCACACAAATTGGCTTGGACTATAATAAAATAACAGGTAAAATACTATTAAAATGCTTCAGTTAGAGAACTGAGGTACCATTCTTGTTAACTGCATTAAAACTGCAGCATTTATGCACAGCTGCCAAAGCAGCAGCTTTTACACACTGCTTTCTTCTTGCTCTTGTGTCCCACTGTTACTGAATTCTGGAATCTGGTCTGTAAAGGACTGCATCATCCATTGTCCATTTGGAACGTCACCAAAGGATGAACCCCCACTGTAATCTAGATTGTTTGCTTCTAGAAAACAAACAGAAGTATTAATAATTTAGTTGGCATTATACCTTTTAGGAAGGGTAAGAAAAGTTGATTGATTTAAAAAAAAGTTTTCCAAGCATTCCCTCTCCCCCATTTTTCAACTGTCTATGCATCACACCTAGCAGAGCTACATTTTCAGTTTTTACATTTACTTTTGAATACTCTAGTCCATGCTAACTTCCTAAATTTACCTTATTTGAATTGTGATTAAGTCAGAGCAGAAATCAGTAGCAGCAAATTGGTTCAGTAGCAGCAAACACCCAGAAAAGACATTTTAATATCCTCAAATTTGTTTGTATCCTGCACACCCAGTCTTCATAGCACCATACTAAACCCCATGACTGTGTACCAGCTATTATATGAGAATAAGAAATGAACTTGAAAGATCATGAACAGAAACCAATACAGGCAGCAATCTATATCAGGAGTGCAAAATTAGGACAGGAAATTTAAAGATCTTTATTAGAAGTTGGCAATTATTTATTCATTCTCTTATACATAACTTAAACCTGTTCTTCAATTGTGACCAATAGAGATGTAAACGGTTAACTGATAGCTGGGTGCATGAGGGGCTTCTCTAGCCCCCCTTTATCCCTGTGCCTGATTAAACTGGATTTTACATCCCTAGTGAACAATGGCACTTCCTTCATTTTTTATTTAAATTGAAAAACAGAATCCCTAATTATGGCTACTCTGCTATAGTCAAAGTTCTAACTCTCAATTCTATTCCTCCACTTGTGTTTTCTTGCTTAGAGCTGAAATTGTTTATTCTGTCAAAACTCTGCAAAGTAGCACCTTTGTCCCAGGTCAAGAAATATTTTTCTTGCTTTGGGCTGAAATTGTTTATTCTGTCAAAGCTCTGCAAAGTAGCACCTTTGTCCCAGGTCAAGAAATATTCAGGCTCCACAACATACATCAACTAATTTTCTTTGTTTCTCTCCCATGCCTAATATCTCTTTGCAATTAGAAATCCAAGAAAAAATTTAATTTTACATCAAAATTTAGACTGTGTTCTCAAAAATTGGGGAATACCAAAAATTAAGGTTTCTTATGCTACATTAAATGGGAATCGCTACACATTGTGATTTAGTGGGGTTTTTTTTGGTGTATTAATTAAAAAGAATTTATACTAGCCCTCAAATCAATTTATGCAATTGTAGAAGAACAACAAACTATCCTAATTCAGAAAAATACATTCTCCTTCACCTATAGCAAGATTAACTGGATAGCCTTTATTCTCTGTTTATAAAACACTTGTTGGGTGTTCCTATTTTTAGAGTACAAGTTCAGAGGTAGTGTAATGAAAGGCACCATGTAAATTTATGGCAAAAATTATAATTATGATGCTCTAGTAGGCTGGTTCCATTTGAGGGTTTGTAAATGATTACAGTTATTTTTACACAACAGATATGTTGAAGATTCCCTAAAATCTGACTTGGCAAAATTGCTGAAGTTGCAGAAAGATATTTTATTTAAATGCATATGGGTGTCTAGGAAAAAAAATCTCCCCACCTTCCTGTACAAAAAGAGAAAAGTGGCTCCTAATGTCCAGACGAAGTGATATAGAAGAAATTATAAGCGTAACAGTTTAAATGCTGTGGTACTTCAAAACTTTGAACAAAAACTGTGGAAGCTGCCTGAAGTGGTAGAAATGCAGAAAAATAACTGGACTGTATTTTCACATTTAAAGGATTGGGAATTAAAAGCCACATGTCACTTTGTACCTGTTCCATTAGAAGCGAAATTACACTGTTCATGCTCATAAGTTGTTCTCTCACTATAAGCACCACCATATGCCGCTTCATAACCTGGATCATATTTTTCTTCTTTAACTGCCATCTTTTTAGCATCCTCTGGAGAGAAAAAGGCCTTAAATGTATTAAATCTTCAGAATAATAGTAAACCATGAACATTACATCATACAACACTGTATACATATATATTTTACTCCACCTTCAATGAGATAGCGTTAAGATTTTGAGAAGAATACATTACATGCTTAGTTTTACACAGTAGTGTAGGTGAGATGAAATGCAGTTTCACATTCCCTATAATTCTTTATTTTCTTCTACCCTGGTAACTGCTGGTTCTATATACTCTCATCAAACCTGATGATACGGCTATGTGAAAGGGGGGCCCCGCCCCACACTATAAATCAACCTGCGGGCAGGGCCTTGCTGGCTGAGAGGGTCCGGCTGGCAGAGAGCGTCCCTCCCGCACGGCCTTGCCAGGCATGCTCCCTGGTGAGCCACACTATAAAAGACCCTGAACTGGCTCACTTGGGACTGATAGCTGAGGGGGAAGGACCGGCAGAACCAGCTCCTGACTCAGAGGAGTCCACGCAGCCGGAACCAATGCCAGAGCCTCTACAACCTCAACAGCAACTTCTGCAGCCCCAGCAACAACCCCGGCCCCAGAGGCCATTGAGAGATACGACCGCAGGAAAACTGCAGGGAGGTAGGAAGCAGCAACGGGCAGGGAGGAATAGACCCCGAATGTTTGGCAGGTTGAGGGGAGGAACCTCTTGCTGAGCAGGCTGTGGCCAAAGCCACTGCCAATAGGGCCCTTGGCTGGGACCCAGTGGAGTGGGAGGGTCCGGGTCCCCCAAACTCCCCCTCCCCGCAGTGCCCTGGAGTACAGGAAGGCCCGCAAGCCTAAGGACTAGGCCACAAGGCCATATTTACCCCAAGAGGGGTAACTTGTATAGACTGAGCCACTGGGCCACAACGAGGCAGGCTGTGGCCAAAGCCACTGCCAATAGGGCCCTTGGCTGGGACCCAGTGGAGTGGGAGGGTCCGGGTCCCCCAAACTCCCCCTCCCCGCAGTGCCCTGGAGTACAGGAAGGCCCGCAAGCCTAAGGACTAGGCCACAAGGCCATATTTACCCCAAGAGGGGTAACTTGTATAGACTGAGCCACTGGGCCACAACGAGGGAGATCCCGACCGAAGGGCTGCACTCCTCAATAGGCTACCATGCATATTTTAAGAAAAGATTACCAAAAAAGCACTATACCTTGTGCAAGCTGCAAGTCAAAAGTATATTGCACCTCCTGCACCTCCATGTTTGGTATAACGCCTTTCAACTGATCCCTTAAATCTTTAAGCTTTATGTAATAATGAACTTTATCCTGTGCACGTGGGAACTGAGCACATCTTGCACTGGATGATGGCATAACATAGCAGAGCTTTAAAAGAGACAACAAAAAGCAAGCAATGCTAAATTAGGGGCCAGTAAAGAATACAGCATGTAAAATCCCAAGAATAAAACTTAGCACCTACCCACCTTTTATTTTTAAGCCTTTGCACAAACATTAATTAATGCTCATAAGACAGGGTAATACTTACTCCATTGTTTTGACTCACTTGCTAAGGATCTACCTCAGACTGAGAAGTAAGATCATCAGCTAACAAAGTATGACAGTTTTTTTCTAGGGTAGAGCCTCAGGTGGTTAAATTACAATTTAAAACTAATTCTGAAAAATTAAGTGACTCGCCCAATAAAGAATTACAATACTTATTTACAAATATATTTGAGTTTATGGTATTTATTGGAATATTACTGAATTACACACAACCAGCAAATTACATGGGGTTACCTACTTTTAAAACAGATACAATATTATAGTTCAAGCTGTCTAATGAGCTTGAGACAGCAACATGACCTCCCTCTGACCCAGAAGAGGAAGTGCCCTTTAAGACTCCCTTGGAGGGCAGGTCCAGCCTCATCTTAGCCCCACCCACAGGAAGCTGGAGGGCAGGACTAGGAGTATAAGAGCTGGGAGCTCAATCAGAGCCCAGCAGCTGAACAGGCTAGATGCTTGGCCCCAGCTCCCACAGCGAAGGGTTCAGCCTCGCCACACCCGACGGGAGGACTGGGCCGGGCCACCAGGAGCCCAACACTTGGTCTGGGCTGCTGAGACTACTGCCACGGCCTGAAAAGATGCTGAGACCACCTGGGCTCCTGCCTGAGCCAGAACCCATGGATACCCTGCCAGCACCTCTGTTCCCAGCTGATAGGGTCGCCAGGTGTCTGGTTTTCTACCGGACAATCCGGTATTTGCACAGTCTGTCCGGTAGAAAAATTCATAAAATACCGAACATGTGCAATGTCTGGTATTTTCTGAATTCCTGGCTGGGTGCCAGACTGAAGCCTGGTGGGGGCGGGGGAGTGACTGGGAGGGCCGGGCATGATTGGCGCTGGGAGCCCTGTGGTCATGTGCAAAAGCTGGGTGGGGCGC